TTCGTACACGGGGGTTTACACCCCCATTTACCCGGCCCCACCTGCCCCCCTCACAATAGGGGGGGCCACGATTATTTTATTCATCGTGGGCCCTCCCCCTCGTGTGAGGGGAGTGTAAACGGGGGTGTAAACCCCTGTGTACAAATGGTTTTACCCTTTGAAGTAATAGGGAATGTGAGTCCTTTCTTTGTTTCTTAAAATAAAGCAGCTTTCAACCGAAACTACAAATTTAAAGTACCAAAGCTACACGATTAGTAACTCGAAAAGCACACTTGCATTGTTTCCATAATAAATATAGTACGTAGAAATTAAAATTATTTTTTGAACATAATCGAAGTGTCCATAATTCAAGAAGCTTTATAATCCGTTGGCCTAGTTTTTCTTAATCTCCAAATTTGCCTTTGACTCTCTATACTTGTACTCCACGTTCCACTTGATAAATGATGAATAATACAATTGATCATTATGATGATGGAATATCGATCATATAACAGTTTATGTGGAATAATGAGATTAGACAGTTCAATTTTTATGTGAGAGAGAAATGCGAGGGATAATTACCTATCTATTTTTTCTTTTTGTGTGGAAGAAAAATATGCATTTCCTCGTTAGAAAGGTCCTCGCAATATTAGAATCCCTATTGTAGTTTGAAATGTATGAATGCATAAAAAAATTCAAGAACCTTTATAATTGTGTTGGAATGGAAATCCTATAATTTTCTTGATTTGAAAATTAATGATCAAGGAAAGTTCACAATTTTGATTTTTATTTGGCTCTTACATTGTCAACAATGGAAATGCATTGTTTGAAAATATTATTATATATCAATGTCACTACCTACTATAAATAGAGTAAAGCAATGTTTTTTCTTGGTTTAATCTATCATTTGGCTATTGTGATCCTCGACATTAATACAAATACATACACAATACATGTTATTAATCAAAATATATTTAAAAAAAAATCAATTAAAATTATACGCCACTTCTAATTCATAATCTCAAACTAAACTTATAAAACTCATACAGTGTTATTTTCTCTTGTTTTCGTTAATCCATAACTCGACGCGAAAATATTCCCAAAACCAAAATATGTCATTTAATTAATTCAGTGAGTCAAAATTCACAAATATAGAATATTGACAAAAATGGCACAACCATGTACCTGGAATTTGTTGAAAATAGCACTGTCTGGACTAATACATGAATGGGTATATGTCCAAGTTTATAAATACGTACTTTGCAAATGTAAAGTTTGGACAAATGCATATATGGGTATATGTCATTCATATTTCATAATAATATCACTGGAAATTACAATCAACCATGTTTTTTAAGTACCAATTTAAAAAATCAAGTTTAAAGTACTTTTATAAAAAAATCAAGTGATAATATTTTTTTAAAGTATTAATAATAATATTATATAATTAAATAAATCTTCAAGCCCACCACTCACCACCTACCAAAAACCCCGCCCAATTGCAAACCCTAATGGGGCCGTTCTCTTTATATTTCAATTTTGTGTTTTGAGTTTTGATTTCATTTT